AAAGTTAGCTTAAGCTGCGACTCGATTTTCAGCACAAATTCTTGAGCTTGAACTCACTTGATCAGTGCGAAAATTGGGTCTGAGTTTAAGCTCACTTGTTATGCATAAGGCCCAACGAGTTCAGCTAAATAACGGTTTTCCAAACAACACTACTCTGAATATGTGCAAATCGTGTGATCCCTGCTTAACAGAAGGTGCAACCCCGTACTACTCGGACTAAAACTAGTAAAACTGTCAAAAAATAAAAACTCCCTCAGAGCGAGAGAGTAACGTTGAAAAGTACGGGATCGATTTCTAGTAAAAAATGGTAACTTCTGTCAACTTCAACATAACCTCCAAATTTTGGTTGTAAATTTTTGCTTATTTTGTATGTAAACACACTCAGCTCACAGATGTAAATAACCAACAATACTTACAGAATTTACCAGCAAAAAATTCTCGGACTAAAACAGGTTACTTCGGATAGAGAGAGAACCGTATTTACCCTCTTTTTTGTACTCTCAATAATCAGAGAACCGAGTACGGGATTGGTTTCCAGTAAAATTTGACTGATTCTGACTATTTCTGAGTAGTCCGGACTTGTACGGGATTGCAACTATCCCTATATCCTCATTATAAATAACAGGAAAAAAACTCCGGACTAAATCCTGTAACTTCTGACTAGGAAAGTTACTCAGTTACTCACTCAAAAGTATTCCCACTTACAGGTTTTTATGTCTATAAGAACGACTTCCTGTAAGTTCTAACTAACTCCTGTAAACCGGACTGCTATTGGAACAGACAAATTTACGTATGTAAAACATCTTTTGCAACTAGGTACTTAGCAACAGTGAAAACTATTTTTGTTAACAAAGATGCGAAAAAACGTGCAATAAAGTAAGTTCAACACCTTCTATTCTTTATACATATGTACATATGCATATCTACTTGCTGTTTTCTATAAACTTGATTTTTTTTATTTCTTCCAATACTTTTCTGCTTTCTTCTTTTAGCTTTTCTCAGCTGAACTACTTATTCCACTCATGTATTTGAAACTGGTAAAAAAAGGTGGTACTATGAAATACATAGCTTTAAAAGAGAACAACTCACCAAACACTTTAAAAGACTGCTGGCGGTTAAAAGCAACAACAAAAGTTTTACGAAAACAAAACTACTAATTTAATGCATTTATATATATGTTAATTTAGAAATTTTGTATTCAAACTTTCTATGAATAGTAAAAGGTGCAAAAACGAAAACATATGTATGTATATGTACATTTTTACAAATTTAATTGAAACAAAAGAAAACATACGTACATAAGTATATGTTGGTATGTTAGCCTGAACACAATGAAAATGACGAGCTACGGACCACAGCTGTCAAATTATTTTAACACGTACTCTTATGTAGGTAATTATTAAGGCGACGACCGGGCTACGCGACGACTGTGGTTGTGACCAGATTAGATCTATTTTTATTTTTCCAGCGACAGATAAGGTTCTTGCTCTTCTTTTATGTCAAACTCATACAAATTCATGTTGTCGCTGTCGCGTTAAAAAAAAAATCATGTCGTCATCGACAAAGCATTTAGCTAATGAAGATAACAAATTGGAAGCTGTGGCCCGTAGCTCGTCGTTTTCAATGTGTTCAGAACTTGTATGTACATATGTATACAAAAATATGGATTGTGGATCATAAAAGCAATTCCTGGATTAAAATCGCACACCCACATTCATAAAAAATAAAGAAGACTTTAAATGCTTTATGAATCGAAAATTTCTGTGAAAATCTGACTTTGAATAAAAATTAAAAAAAAAATACATTTGATAGGTGAAATTTTGTTATGGTAATTGTTGTAATTGTTTATTAGATATATATTTTTTTTTATATGAGAGTTGAAGTCGGTTTTTTTTTGCTAAAAATTACTTGTTTTAGTTTCGCTTTCCATAACGTGAACGTTTAATTTCACGTCTAGATTTCATACGAAATATTCCCCTGCTTCTCGTATCTTGTTTACCTAGTTCTAGTAACATATCGACGATACTTTGGCAAACCCTTTTTTTACTGAATATTAATGAATAAGTACTTTTTAGTTAACTAAGGGCCAAATTCACAGTGCGTAGTTAACTCAGAATTGGCAGTTAACTACAGATTTTTAGTACGATTATGTGAATTTGGCCCGTAGTTAACTAACAAGTACTTTATCTTTAATATTCAGTCAAAAAGGTTTTGCCAAAGTCCTAAAAATCTGTAGTCCAAGTCCCCACCAAAAAGTTAACCATCTCAAATCGAACTTAACCCTAACTATTGCTGTCCACACTGCGGTTTAAGGTTTATAAAACAGTACAAATGTAAAGAACAGTGTTCGGACTCCAAAAATCGATTCAGGACTAAATTCCTGCAAAAATCGGAGCAAAAACAAAATTTCCGTACTAGATTGAATTTTTATTTCTGACATTAATTGTTTGACTAAAATATTTTCTATTCATGCAAGTACGCGAGGCAATGTAAGGATATGTTACAATTTAGGTAATTTTTAGCATTTTCTATATAGTAGAACGTATCTAACACTTAATTTTTAAAAAAGCAAACCTTTTCTACTTTATATAAATTTCATTTTACATATATATTTTAACAACTTAAGTAAAGTTCTGCATCCGCCAATTTCTACAGCATACATAAAAAAATAATGAACTTTATTGACGCATTGCTTTGAAAGAGTTACATACTTTTTAACAGTGAAATTTGGCTAACTTTCAATTTTTTTATTGAAACCGGTGGTGAACACTCAAAAAACGGTCCTAAGAGGGGCTTAACATGAATGAAAAAGAAAAACGGAACAGATTTGAAGTCAAGCGGAGTAGAGGAGTAGATTTCAAATTTTTTCAAAAATCGGAGTAAATCTAATGATTTTAGTGGAGTCCAAACACTAGTAGGGAACGAATTCTTCACATTTTAACGCTAATGACCCACAGATGGCGGGCAAACAGGGTTGTATCAGACTTTCGACGTGGTTTCGAGTTGGTTAGCTTTTAACCATCTCAGTGAAATGGTTAAGTGCTGTAATACCCTGCACTCAGTAGCAGACATCGAAAGTCGTCTTTAGCTCTGATCCAATACTTTTCGCGTAAAATCCTGTAAAAATGTCAAACAGCAAAATTACTCTCTGAAGTGAGAGTAAAAAGTGAGTAACAACAAAAAGTACGGGAACAAAAAACCATTTTTCCTGTAAAAACGTCAACCAGTGATCGCTTTTCACTTTTCATGATTTTACCAGAAGAAAAAGTTCGGGTAAATCTTGCAACTTCATTCTCTACTCAACTCTCAAAAATCGCTCTCGTTTACGGGATTTTGGAGGAATTTAGAGTACAGAATCATTTTTGTGTAACTTCCTGCAAGTTCGTGTAAAAACCTGCAAGTTCATGGAATTTCATAATAAATCAATAGTTAATTATATATCTTTTTTTTAATTATATATCAATTTAAAAGAGGTGGACTAATTTTTAAATGTTTTCTTTACCCAATCTGGCAATACCATGCCATTTCACAATCAGCTGATCGCGTAAATTGTCCATTCTTCACATTTGTTTTACGTAAAAAAGCCGCATATTGGAATAAATTGCATTGAATTGCATTTGCATCAGTAATAATTGCTCATATCCACTCAGTTCAGCAGCAAAAGTATGTCAATCAGCTTGCAACGTCTCGTCAATAATTGCAGTAGAAGGCCTTCATTTTGGCAACATGTAGGCCTAACGAAGCTGACACCAAAAGGGGCGTCCAATCACCTCCAGCGACGATTCACCGCCACTGATCCCACAAAGGGTAAAGGTCCAATTTCGTGGAAGAGTTTAGCCTTTATCGGTGGTGCCGGTGTAATTGGTCTAGGCTTTATGTTATATGTAAAAAAGGAAAAAGAAGAGGCTATTATGCGTGAACGAAAACGACAGTTGGGCAAAGCGGCTATTGGTGGACGCTGGGAACTCGTTGATCCCGAGGGTAAAGTACGCAAGTCGGAAGACTTTCTTGGTAAATGGCTGCTTATATATTTTGGATTCACACATTGTCCGGATATATGTCCTGATGAGTTGGAGAAAATGGCAGCTGTTGTGGATGCGATAGGTAAGGTGTTAAGCACATAATAGAGATAATACTATATAATAACTTCCATGAATTTTTAATTATCTTTGGATTGCTGTAGAAAAGTCACCACAGTCGCCCGAAATCCAACCCATTTTCATCACTGTGGATCCGGAACGTGATTCTAAAGAGATTGTTGGCAAATATGTGAAAGAGTTTTCACCAAAGTTGTTGGGTCTCACCGGCACCGTGGAACAAATACGCAATGTTTGCAAAGCATTCCGTGTTTACTTTAGTGCTGGCCCACGCGATGTCGATAATGATTATATTGTAAGAATATCAATGCGATTTATGTGATACTTCCATCATAATAATACTTTCCTGCACAGGTTGATCACACTATCATCATGTACCTTGTGAATCCGGATGGTGAGTTTGTGGATTATTATGGACAAAATCGTGATAAGGATCAGTGCATAAGTTCTATAGCAGTAAATATTGCCAAATGGAACAGTTTAAACCAGAAGTCATGGTTCGGATAAGGAGATTTGCACAAATATAAGTGAAAATTGCTTGTTATCCAGTTCCAAGGAAAATTTTGATTTTAAATGTGTGGTTGCATTTACATAAACCTGTCTGCAACTAGCTTTACGCGCAATAAATTTATTTTAAAGTATTTGTTTTTAACTATTGCCAAAACATGTGTTATTTTATTTCAAAAGTAATGGAATGCGGCAAATCACGGAAGCAATATGCAGAGGAAATTTTTGGTACGACTAGCAGCCCTATTTCCAAGCCAATGACAAAACTCAACGGTTGTCTATTTGATACGTGGTGGAATTATATTCCACCATGGTCTGATGTAATTGTTTGATTTTCGTTGCAGAAAATCCCTTATAAAAAAATAGTCTGGCATCTTGCTCTGTTATTGACATTTCAAAGTGTCAATTTTGTGTTGTCAGCACTGCTGCTGCACACGAAGCTTCTTTTTGACATTTCACAGCGCTGTCCACGGCAATAAAATAATTGATTTTTTGCGAAAACAAATAAAAACAGTGCAAAATGGTATATATTTTATAATAATATAAACTGGAATCCTTGAATGCAACCAAAAGTGTTTATATAAAGCAAATCGCTAAAAGATGAGCTAAAATAAGGTGGAATTGAATTTGCCACTACACCTAACCTAAAAAATATTTGGTTGCTCATCGATTGCCTGTGCAAGATGTTAAACAAGTGCAAGTTTCATTATATATTTTTTCGTTTTAGCGACCTTTAATGCTGCAGGGGCATGAGCGTTCTATAACGCAAATTAAGTTCAATCGGGAAGGTGACTTGTTGTTTTCATGCTCTAAAGATCAAAAGCCAAACGTGTGGTATTCACTAAACGGCGAACGTTTGGGCACTTATGATGGCCATCAGGGTGCGGTTTGGTGTTTGGACGTTGATTGGACAACATCAAAGCTCATTTCTGGCGCTGGTGATATGACCACGAAGATCTGGGATGTGGAATACGGTGCTGTGATTGCTTCGATTCCTGCCAAGTCATCTGTGCGTACCGCCAATTTCAGTTATTCCGGCAACCAAGCGGCGTATTCCACAGATAAAGCTATGGGTCAAAATTGCGAGCTATTTATTATCGATGTACGTACAGCAGACTCGAGCATTGCGGAACAAAATCCAATTTTACGTTTACCAATGCTTCCATCGAAAATCACTTCCATGTTATGGGGACCATTGGATGAAACCATTATCACAGGTAATGATAATCAGCCATGTTCTGCAATTCCCTTTGAATCCGAAGTTCGGGGTTTGTGTTCCACCTACCGAGTAATTATTTTGTTTGAAATCATATTTTAAACATATCGTAACCTTTTAGGTCACGATAATGGACAGATTTCTATATGGGACATTCGCAAGGGTGGTCGCGAAATCAATTCGGTGAATGATCACACAGCTGGTATAAATGATATGCAAATGAACAAAGATGGCACAATGTTTGTCACAGCTTCCAAGGATACATCAGCCAAGCTATTTGATTCCGAATCGTTGATGTGTCTTAAGACATACAAAACGGAAAGGCCGGTAAACTCTGCTTCAATTAGCCCTATCATGGATCATGTGGTATTGGGTGGTGGTCAAGATGCTATGGAAGTGACCACGACATCAACTAAAGCGGGCAAATTTGATTCACGTTTCTTCCACTTAATTTACGAAGAAGAATTTGCGCGTCTTAAGGGTCATTTCGGTCCCATTAACAGTTTGGCCTTCCATCCGGATGGCAAAAGTTACGCTTCAGGTGGAGAGGATGGTCTCGTACGTGTGCAAAATTTCGACAGTACATATTTTGAAAACATCTTCGAGTAGAAACTTTTGCTTATTGCATAGTTTATATATTAGTCCCCAATAATCTTTCTTTGTAACTTTATTTGTGTGAAATTAAAGGTGGTACGCAAATATGTTTGCGAATAAAATAAACTTCAAAAGATATGTGAGAACAAGAAGAAAAACTAATTACAATTTTATTTTTTTTTTAAATAAATGAATATATACATATTTTCATGATACAAAAATTTTAATATTTTGTATATATCGAATTTATGGAACAAAAGCATAATTCAATAATTAAATCGAAATACTCCATTAATACACAAGACTATAGCTTTTTTCCTCTGTCCACAATGTCTATATAATGTTTATACATATATATATATATATATATATATGTTTGGATTTCCCCTTAGAAGAACGACCGCTTTGTTTTCTTCAAAACGACAGGTTGTCCTTGCATGGCGGCATATTGGGCCGCAGTCGGTGCGTAACCTGGTGGTGGTGGCGGTATGCTTACTGCTCCGGTTGCAGTCGTTCGTATCTTAGCGCCCGCAGCTAACGATAATACATGAGGCTCTTTTACTGCTTGTGTTGTGTTGAACGTAGCCGGAGCAGTTGCAGTCACATAATGATGTTGGTAGTACTGTGGTGGTGGCGCAGCATAGTGTGCTGAATAATTGGGCGTCTGCATTTGATGTTGCTGAGCATTATAATTGTATGTTGGCATGTATGAATTAGGCATATGGTTTGGTGCCACCCGATTAGCAGCAGCTGCTACATACATGCGCTGGCTCTCTTCGTAGGAAGGAGGCGGTGGGCGCTGAAAATCAATACATCAGCAGTTTACTTATGTATGTATTTAAGCATTTGTTTTATGCTATACACTTACATGATTGAAGCCACTGGCTGCAGCGCCATTGAGGGCAACGGGCGCTGATGGCGGTCCAGCTGTGGTAACTATCTTCTTTTCTATAATATAAATATTTGTTAGAGTATTTTTTATAGTTCATTGTTTTTTCTATTACCATTGGACATTCTCAGACTATGCGGTATTTTTGAAATTTTTATCAAACTTTTCAATTTAGCAAGATATTTTTTTGGCGTTCATTTTTTGATTGAACAATTTTTAAATGACGTTTGTTTATATGCGATGACACTAGAATCAAAACAAAGCAAGCGATGCCACTAATCCACAGGGTTGCATTCAGCGTACTGATGGTATATATATTAGGGGTGTTCTCATCGAAGCTTGGTACTCGGTACTACGGTACTTGGAAATTGTTTCCCCATGAACGAAAGACACAAGATCACGCGGGAAGGAAAGAACGAAAAAAGTTATTTTCTAGCTGCCGAAATCTCGACGCCATCTTTGTTGTAAGAAGTAAACAACGAAGAGAACGGAGAAAACCGCGAAATTGTTGAACGCATGAAAAATCATTTTTATTATGCAAATTCTTCTATAAATCATGTTGTGTTAAATTATTCTTTATCTTATGTGTACACACGTTGTCACAAGCGAAAATGAAGAAAATTGCAGTAAAAAGCCACCACCAAATTGTAAACAACGAAGAAATGTAAACAAACGGCTAATGTCAAAATCGTTCAACTTTTTTCCTAACAGGCTAACCTAATATTCGCGGCTTGCGTTTTGGTACGCATGCCGTTGAATTTGTTTTTTTTGCGTCACCCGAAATTGACTTGCATGCGTTTGCATTTGATTTCATTGAGCGAAACGTCAAATCAAAATGTCACGCAGAACAAAAATTGGAAATTGAGTTAGCTTCATATGCACGCCGTTCAATTTCGGTTGATCTGATCAATGATCTCATACAAGTTGCATGTGCATGAGAAATTTTTGACAATAACTTGGCGGCGTGCGTGAATATTAGGTTAGCCTGTAAATGCGATTCTAACGGGCTAGTCTCCAACCCGCGTGATCTTGTCTTTTTGGTTCATGTTGTTTCCCATTGTTCATGATATTTCCCCATTTTGTTTCCCATGTAGCTGAGAACTTACAGATGCGTACTACCATTCTATAGGGCCTGAGTTCAATCCCTGGTCCGAGCAAAATCTAACGTTCCTCTGCAGGCAATGGCAAATCTCGCGGCTTTTCCGCTTTGGAAATGGTTCTCATTAAAAACTATTTGCTGTTCGGTGGCGGAATAAATTTTTGGGTATTTTCATTCGTGCTCTAACATTTGGAAGCACACCTCAATTTGGAGGAGAAGCACAGCCAAACACATAGCAAAAGTGTGAGAGCGCACGCCTCATATTTCTCCGACACATTTGGTGTAGAAGCAAATTAAGTACAATGAAAAAGATTTGTCGCAAAACTTATGTTAATAATTTTAATAATACAATAACTTTTATATTTTTTACGCTGCTTCAATCTCCTCTAAGAATTTCCGACATTTTTCTTTAAGCACCTTCACGGCTTCGATGAAAATCACGTCAGGCTTAAGTGCTCCTACCGATTCAACACTAAATATATAGTGATCACGTACACGTGCCATTGTTACTGCATCTTCCAATTGCGGATAGCGATATACGTTACGGCTGCATGTATCATAGCGTGCATCTTTCACATAGGCACAGTCATTTTCATCGATTCCTATAACACCGGGAGAGAAACATTTTTGCAACAGAAATGCTTCTTTGCCCTCTACTCTGCGATTCAATTTAATTTCCGGCAACAGCCTGTAGAAAGCAGTAGCTACTGGTGAAAATTTTGCGTGATCATTGCCAATACCCTTCACAGCCAATAGACGCAGGTCCAATTCGTGTCCCGGACGCAACTGATTAATCAGTATGTCATCATGTATACAACCAACATCTGTTTCGCTGAAAAGCTGTGATTGTTTGCCCTTTGGTAGCCATTTTATTTGACCGGAATAAACCTTGTGGTTCTTGTAGATGGTGTCGAAGTTTGATGAGTCCTTTACATCTTTGCGACGCGTACACTTTACCTTCAATTCAAATTCTAAAGTATCATGTTCATTTCCTTGATCACCACTCTCCTCGGTTTTGTACAAAAAGCGTCGAGGGTCTGCGCGTAGCGGAATGAGACCCAAGCGATGTGCTAGCACTTCATCTTGCATAATTGATGTGTTATTATAAATGTACACCTTTTCAATAGCCATACTAGGCACTTCGCTGAGCATAAGACGACGGAACGCGTTTGCTATGCCCGGATGGACACCAATCATATCAAACTCCATTTCGTTGCCATCGTATCTGGAGAAAGTTTATTATAATAAGTTAAAGGAATTGAAGGTAATAAGAGGTTTAATTTACTTTACAACAACTATTTGAAACTTGTTTTTAAAAGTTTCCAAGTTAAAAGGTTCATCAGCTAGTCCATAATCGTGTGGATCCTGCTTCAACTTGTGCTCGTCCATATACAACCTGGGACGTTGGGTATCTGTAGACATTTTTAAACAAGATATTTTAATTGGTGGTTTTTTTGTGGATTTAATTTCCAGATTGAGTCGAAAATTGTCGGTGTCCACGTGCGTGACTAGTTTTGTTTTGGTATTTGTTTCTTTCGTCGATAAATGATAAATGTCATCAAAATAAAAGGGATAAAAGTAAAGGTCAATGAACGTTGCCGGATCGTAATTACTTTAGTATAATCTTTTTAGTAAGTTTTTAAATAACTTTCAACGATAATTTTACACAATAGAACACAATTAGTTCTTCTTATAAAGAATTAAGAAGTAACTTTAAATTACAAAAAAAAGCCTATAAATTATTTTGCATATTATTCATGTTTTACAAAACCGGCTACCCTGAAAGAATCCTGCAATGGTTGTCAAAAAATATCCCACTGCCAGCTCCCAGCTGTCATTGGACTTTCAACAGGCTGTATTGAATTTTACCGGGACTCACGATTTGTTTATTTTAATTTACGCAGTCTTTTTTTAACACTTGGATGTAAATTTATAATAAATATGTAGAAGGCATCAATGCTCATCATTGATTAAATATTTTCAAAATGGCAAAACGTTTCCAGCCTTTTAAAGAGTTCGGCCGAAGCACGAAAAAACCGAAATTAGATGTCAGCATAAACAGAGGGCGTCCGCTAGGACCAAGCCAGTCTTGGCCAAATCACATACGCCCCAATGCTGTGCATGTGGCGAGAGTGGACAGCCCGGTGGGCTGTGGCTCAAACTATAACAATTTGTGGGACGATGATGACGACGATGTTATACTGCTAGCAACACAGGTAGCTGAATCCCAAGTGGCAATCAAAAGTGCATCGGCGGTAAATATCTCCGAAAGTGATATTACTTTCAGTGAATTCGCACCACATGTGCATGCCACCACAAGCACACAGCGAATTACAACAACGACATGTGCCGCGGTAAAAGCCACTGTAAGTGCGCCACCGACCACAGTGGATAAAAACAATCATTCGGAATTATTTCTGGATGATGATGATGACCTTGTCGAGTTGTTGGATGCGGCAACGAATGGCCAAAAGCCCGAAAATACAAGTGGAGCGCGGCAAAACCAGGAAGTAGAAAGTGTTTTTAAAAAACCGACGCAAGTAGTAAGTGTAATAAATGGTGTCAGTAAAAGAATGCCAATGGGATCGACCCAAGGTCCCGCTATAGATGGACAAAGTGCAGCAGCGCGTCGTCAAGTAGCATCGGAGCGGCAAGTAAAAATGCTGACTGAACGTTTGGACGCATTGAAAGCAGAAAATGCGAAGCTTGCGAAGGATCTCAGTGAATCGAAAAGCAAAATCGAAAGCAAGGATGGAGAGGTAACTTATGAACATATATATATTGTATGACATTCAGTTATTAAAATTTCGTTTGCAGTCCTCCCTGCTGCGAGATGAGTTGCGCCATATGAAGCAACAATTGCAAACATTGAAAATGGAGAAAATTATGAGCGCTGAAGCCGCCAAAACGGAATGCAAAACAAAAATTGCCGAACTGGCGAGACGTGTGGAGGCCAAGGAGTCGGAGTTAAAATTACGAAACGTAGAATACTCTGTTCTAAAGATGCGGCACGCCGATGAAACCCAGCGCCTGGAAATGAGCATACGCAACGCTAATGTAGTTACCGGCGATGTGCCAATGGAGGAAGGCGTAGAAAATCCACAGGATATCTGTAATGTTCGTTTTCTATGCCGCATGCGCAATTTATCATTGACAACAGCGCAGCGCGCGCTATTGAATCCGCAACTCACCGAAATGAATGCTAGCGCCTATGAACGTCCCCGAGAGCGCGGCGCCACAAAACGTCAACAGACGCCGTTTCAGCAGGAATTGGCTAATGCACAAACGCTGCTGGCGCAATTACAATTGCAGCAGCAAAAACGGTCATGGACTACCGCCGAAGCAATGGATTTCAATGAACGCGCTATTGCATCTGCTTGCAATGCATTGCCCGAATTTTGGACTTACGTGCATGGACTTGAGTTCCCCAAGCACTGTAACATACATCCCTATCATGATTATGATCTGCGTAAGGACGACCAAACGATCAGTGCGCGCAATTTACATGTAGCGCAAGCATTGCATGCAGATGAACGCGCGGTTAGTTTGCGGCGCTATGTGGCTGCTTTGAGTGTAATGTGCGCGCAGGCGCCAAATTTCGCACAACAATTGCTCAAGCAAGAACATGGCGATTACGCACTGCTGCAGGTCGCATGCCATGCCATTTCCAAGTTGGGTTATTCCAATGAGATCTGTGCGCATTTCGGAGCGCTGGAAGCATTTGCAACGCTCTTGCGCGTGCTATTGCGTCAGATGCGCGCAGATAGTGAGGATCACTTCGAGTTGCTAGTAGGCGGATTGCTGAAACAGCTTGTTTTTGTGCGTCCGAGTGCGTGGATTTTTCAGGAGATATCATATTCGGTGCTGGAGTTGACGCGATTGCCAGCAGCCTTAGCGCTGCTCTGCGTAAACAGCGATGAAAGCACATTCTGTAGCGATCGCATGCGTTCACTCTATCGCTTCTCAAATGATTCATGCATTCTGCAAGTATATGCGGGGCTATTAGAAATAGCATTTCCACTGAATGGTGTCTTAAATGAAGCGCATCTGCGGCTACTGGCTGTTATTTGTGAAAATCATGTGCGTTTTGCACACCACTGCTTCATGAAGCCGCCAGATTTCATATACAAGCTGTTGCCCTCCTACGATGTTGATGATGATGACGATGACGACGATGATGCCGAAGATGGCACCGAGAACGAACAGCGTATGGATACAACAGAAGAGCAGACCAATAAGCAGCAAGCGCGCGTGCCAACAGATAGCGTTGACAGTGCAACAATGGCAAACGACTTGGCCGCAACAGCGAATTCTAGCGCAGTTGCGCAGGAAGTGGCTGCACAGCCCACAAAACAAAGCAGCATTAAAGGGCGCGCCCGATGTGAGTGCTATACGAAGCTATGTTTGAGCGTGGTGACGCTGCTCTTCCAGCTGATGCGACAATGGCAGTGTAACGGACGAAAAATAGGTGCGTGAAATAGTAACTCTAGAACGTACTGACTATTTCATATTAAATTAATGATTTTTTTTTTTTTAATTTCATTAGAGACATTACGCATAGCAGAGATCTCGCAAATATCCGTACAGTTATTGCATACGATTTTTTGCGACAACTACTCGACGCACCTCTTCCGTTATGCCGAAGAGACAACTAAGCACTATTTGTGGTTGATCTGTGAATGCTGGTCGGAAAATGCTAAATGCTTAAAATTTAACAGCGTACAAAGTGCGTACGAAACATTCATACAAATTTTGCACAGTAAATTTTATTTGTTTTTTTTTTTATTTTTTAGTGAACTTCCTTGACAAATTGCGTGCCTTTCATATTATGCCCAAACAGCTAAATGAAGAGGGTAATGTTGCTAATGTAATTAACGATCTAAAGGAATGGCATTCGTTAACCAATGATAACTCAACGTGTGGTGTTACTGCGGATCCAAATGCTATGGTCAATCTGCCATTCGCTGCTGAAAAATTGGACATAATGCGTTGTGCTGTTGATGAGTCGAAATTCTTTGAAGGCCTCAATGGCTATGCATTTAATTTTGAGTGATCAGTCGCAGCTACATCTTAAGATTTTGTATGTTGAATTAAGATAAGTGTTAGTTGTTAATGGCTTTTTTGCGCTATGCAACAAAGAAAACGGGTTACACACTAAATTTTATTAGTGCGTGGCGTTTTGACTATGGTTTTCCTTATTTGTTCATAATTTGCCATATATTATTATTTCATCGTGACTATTGTAGTTACTAATTTTTAATGTAATTCAATTTGAAATGTTAAATAAAAGAAACAAAAAATTTTTGATTTAAAAAACCACGACGTGGACTACGTGTGAGCAAGAATAAACGATTTTCAACTCTAGTTCGCACGAAGCTAGGGTAATAACGTAACCGGTACGACGCAGATTATATCTGGCCAGGGATTGTTTTTAGACATATGGCCACTACATATGGACATATGAAAGCATATTTTAATATACTGATAATAATTGCTTTCTGAATTGTACGCTGGTTCAGGTTCATTTCAAGGCATAAACACATTTGATTTCGTTAAGTGTAAATGGTTTTCATGAACAAGTAATGTTGAAGCCTTTTTCATTTAACTTTTTATAGTACACACTTAAAGGAAATATATGTATGTATGTATGTATGTATGTAAATAACGAAATTTCCTAAATTACTTTTACCAACTAATCACCCTATTTATTTGCAAAGAATATAGAAAATTACTTATTTTACAAACATTTATTTTTAAGTGATTTATAAATTGCATAAGAATATGAAACTGCATATTCAAAAGTACTTTCTTGCACCTTTACATTTTACAAACTCCTTAATTTAGCGTTCGTATAAAAGTATAAACCATTCAATGAGTATTGCTACATAAAATGCTATTGTTTATTAATAATATGTATGTAAATATTATGGTACTTTAAAGTGATGTGTATAAATTGCTTTTAATGGATTTCAAATATGCATACAAATAAAAGCGTTGTGATAAAACATGTGCAGTCAAACTCAAAAGAATGTAATATTTTGAAAAAAATTTTTTTTGAAAAAAAATGTTGGTTTTGTGCAAAGGTGTAGATGAACAGCAGCTATTTAGAGGACAATCAAGAATATAATAGTGAAAAGAATGCGTCATTTCTAATGTAATTATTAATATTAAAAAATTTACAATAACTAAAGCATTTTGAAATGTTACATATTTGTTGATATCGCTATCGATATATACAGATATACATAAACATGATTATGGATAACTGATTATAGCCATCGCTATGAATTTATCTTATTTTTCATCGATATCGTTATCGATTTTATTATAAATTTATCGAACTATAGTCGAAATATTAATCGATAACCATTAATATCGATATTTTTAGGATATCTTTATCGGTATTATGAATGATACAGGTATTTATCGCTATCAGTATTACGATTGACATATATATAATTATTTATCGATATCAATATTATGATACACGTACAAATTTATCGATATCCAACATTAGAATCGATTTGCGTATTTATATCGATATATGTACATACATATGTGTGTGAATATTCATCAATATCCACCTAATGGTCGAAATACATATTTATCGATATCAATATTTTGATCGATTTGGGTATTTAACGTTTCAATGTCAGTACATCCTACGCTCGAAAAGCCAAAAATGCTTGAGGTACAAAAAACCGATCGCCCTCCAAATAAGCGCGTGCCACAAAGTCTTTAAATACATACTTACACATATAATTCACTTTTGGGTTTTGATTTGAAAAAAGGTAAACTTAATACTAACAATCTAATACTTAATTAGAGCTAAGTGCGAATACAAAACGNCTAACTAATACTAACAATCTAATACTTAATTAGAGCTAAGTGCGAATACAAAACGATACGGAACTATATAGCAAAATCGCATTTACTTAAAATAGTCCGAAACGCTGAACATTTTTGTTGAATGAGTATTACAAATACAATCAAGTCCACATAAAATTCCATAGGTACAGACATAGGGAAAGAGAGGCAGAAAACCATTATTAGGTGATTCGAAATCAAAATTCGTAAGTGCCGATAAATTATAAGCATATAGTATGTATGTATGTGCGTCCAATATAATTTTCGCCTTATCCAACTAAAAGGGGGGACATTACCATTTTAAAGGTGTGCTTTTGTTGTTGTAAGCATTGGCTCTACAAATGAAGATAGAGAAAAAAAGAGAAATGCATATGTATACATATATATATATATGGTAAATGTGAAAACAAAATAATAATCTACATATATAGGATACTAAAATCTTTCTACACATATAAAAAAGGTACTCAAGTGCTCACTAAAAAAAAAAACGATGAATAACAATAGACAAAATTATGAAAGTGCTTTTAAAAAACTACTTCTCTTACTTAACAACACCCTGCGCCTGCGCTACCGTCAATGTAATAAATGGCGTTAAGCGTTCGACGAAACGCTCATGATTACGCTCCAACTCGCGCTGATAATCCTTTTGATCGCTCGATATTAAATTACGATTCTTCTTCAAAGCATCGGCACAACGCTTGGAGAATTCACGGAAACAGAGTCGTAATTTATTTTGATGTTTTGTTGGCACCGTCACGCCATCGGAGAGATTGGCCAGAAAAACCGTAGCCATTTCCATGGGCCCCTGATTGACTGTGGTGCCAATACAACCTTGCAGCACCATTTGTAATATTTTCGGATCGGCAGGCTCTTGATTGGTGGCAGCCGCCAGCTCTGCCGTTTTCTTTTGTATATCTTCAATGGCCACTTCGATGGGGTCGAGTATGATTTGCTGACGCGCAATTACCTGTATGCGTGTTTTCACATACGGAAAATGATTGGCTGTGGTGAGTATGGTCTTCCGCTTGCACTGCTCGTGCAGATCACCGTGTGCCTTACCGGATTTGGTAAATGGTGTGGCAAATATGAATCGTTCTATTGAGGGAGAATAAAGAATTGCAAAATTATTATTTTTTTTTTTTGTTGAGAACAACTAAGTTTATGTGTACGCACTTATATTGAAATTGCGTTCGAAGTGTGTCTCGCGGTGTCGTATCTCGTAGGTTTCGAAATAGGGCTCCACGTAGGTTATTTGTATATAGGCCTTCTCGGGGTCCAGTGAATTAACATCCACTGAGTTCGAATCCTTTATTATATGCACTGAATCGGGACCAAATCGGTCGGCATAAAAGTTCTGAAATGGGACGTTAACGTCTTAATTCAATTTTAGAAGTATGCTACCAGTTCAGTAATTTATCGTTATTGTTATATTGTTGCTGTAACAGCATACAAATCCTTCAAAGAGTTTGTGGGAAGTTCCGATTACGTAGTCCTATACTTATCGATATGAAATGTATGAAAAAATTATATATATATATTTTTGCAATGAACTAAAACTATTAATATATCGATGTGTGTATTTATCGATAACATATTAGTTATATTTATCGAATTTACTGTGTGCTCAGCAACATTGTTATTGTTATATATGTATGTATATCGATAGCATCTTAGATATACTTATCGATAGCATTTTAGATATATTTGTCACGTTTACTAATAAGCTCAGCAACATTGTTATAAATCTCCAACGTACCACACTTATGTATGTACATACTTCTTCTAACAACGCCCCACCCCTCCCACTTACCTGTAGTCGACTAAAAATCTCCGGCAACTTAGTTAGCGTCGGCTCCTTGTAAATGAATTCCTGCTGATCCAAATCACCGAACTTTGCACCATAGAAACCCACCCGGAAATAGGTACCAAATACCCGCTTACCCTGTAGCTGTGCAATGCGGTTGAAGGCCTCTTGCAGCTTACCATGTATTTTGCCCAATTTCTGAAAATCTCGATTCGCCTCACAAATGGGTGTCAGTATTTTATACACTTCGTTCATGGCTTCGTACATGCCAGCGATTTGGAAGGAATTCGATGCCTCCTCCAGCAATACTTTCAAACCACTTTCAGTAAAGTGATTACCCAAGCAAATGCCATCTTCGCCGGGACTTAGAACATCATCCGATACGGCGGATTCCATGAGCGCATTTGGCGTAACCCGTTGAAAACTAACAGCACCTACTGGCAAATGCTGTTGTGACTCCAACATGCTTAGATATTCGGCAACTAGCGCAGCTGAATGTACATAGCACATGGCTGCTTCGGTGTGGTTGGCGCGTTCACGATGCTTCTTGGCCATATTTTCCAGCCAGGTAAGCCGTAAATCAGGATTATTTTGATATCCCTTGGCTATGCGATGCATAAGGTCGAGCAACATTTCGGGATCTTCTTGGTATTCCTTCATCTTAACGGTGTCGGAGAGGATCATATGCAAATTGAAAAGCAAATCTTGCACCTGCTCCGGGAATGAAGTTTCCTGTAGATCTTGATCTGATTCTGCATAGACGAGTACGGTTTTAAGTGCTCGTCGCAGAGATTGTTCGCTGAATGCAGAGCTTGTGCCGACTAGCGAACTGAGAGACATGGTTACTTGCATTTTGACGCGCGCAAAATTCTGGAAATGGGAATATAAAAAATGGAAAAGTTTGATGAAAATCATTCAAACTGCTTCTAATTCACTTACATTGCCAATCTCGAAGTTCTGTCGCATGAGCAGATACAGCGAAGCTGAAGCTTGTGAACGTATGGCCGGCAGCAATGAGCCGCAGTGCTTCAACAAAAGCAAGCACAGATCCGCACAAATGTCCGTCTCTTCGTCGAACAGCAAATTGGGGAATTTGAAAATTAATGCGCGCTGCGATGCAAACTGATTTTGAAGCGATAATGTACTTTGATTGCGTGAGAGTGCATGCAGCAACACTTTCAAAACTGTACCCAACAGGTTGTGATGCATTTCCGAATTGGTGGAAACCTGTACAATAATTTCCAAAGCATCTAAAATAATCAACGAAATTTCAGTGGCTAAAGAGCCTTCAATAAAATGATTTAACTCCAATTCCGGATCTGCTTTGTTGGTATTATCGTATAATTGCGAACGGTATGGCATTTGATCTTTACGCCAACGAAATTTTTCTGTCGAATTGCGATCTTTGCGTCTGTTTATCAGATCATAGCGCGCCGAGTTGGTACCACGTATACACTCTTCGAGCTTCTCTTTCAAATCGGTTGGCTTACGGAAACTTTGCGTATTGCGCTTAAGTGAGGGCAACCGCTTTTGGCCCTTATACTCGAAACAGGGTATACAAGTGTTCAAGAGCTGTAACATTTGATGCACGCGATGTGGACTGAGACCGAGTAGCCAGCGATATAAGACGCTACGTTCAAGATTTTTCAACACCCAAACGCAACAGGCGAGCAAATGACGTGTATTCTCACTGCTTAATTGTGATTTATTTTTGATTTGATCATTGAGATAGTTGTATGCGCGATGGGCAGAGTTGGCGTAGGCGAAGTCGGCACTCATCGTTGAAGTGGAGAGGCTCTGGTGCGGGCCCTGATAGTCTTCAAGCAGACCAATGCTTTGCAGGCGATCATGTGTGTCTGTGAGATATTGGTGTAGCTGCGGTATGACGTCCATGACAACACCTAGCAAAGGGAGGTAGAGCGAAGCAACGCGTGCGCGCGCCTCAACCTCGCTATACCGTGGATCTAGATCGTGTGAGGTCATTAGATTGCGGATACAACGAATGGCTTTGCCGTGCAGCTGAGGATTGCTAGAAGCACAAAAAATGAATTTTCGTATGCATTTATATTTATTTAAGTTTTTGAATCGATACATACGGCACTTCGAGCACTGTCGCCAAGTCGCTAAGCACCAAGCCGACCAGAAAGTGTTGCTGGCGAAAATCAGCGCTCAAATCTGCATGCAATGCGCGTTCCATGGAGCTCTGCAAGAAAATTGTAAATAAACTATCTGTCACTATTCGCATCAACATCCACAACTTACATAAGAAGTTTGACTATTGCTCGACGTTGTGCTCGGTGTTGGACTGCAGGGAGCTGAAACCGTGGTATAGGGCGTGCCGAATGGCAAATTTAATGCCACAAAATGTTCATGGCTGCATACAATACGCAAAAAATCTATTTTGTAATTCATCAAATCGGGTATGGATGCATTCTTCGAAATTAGCACTTTATAATAGGTTTTAATGAGACCAAAAACAAAACCGCGATCCATAATGCTGAAGAGATCAAATATGAAGAAACCCAAGCTGGCATTCAGCGATTGCGCCAATTTCGGCTCTTCACTGTGATAACCCACAACTTTGGTAGTTACCAAATGCACCAGTGTCGAAACATCGTCGGTAAATTGATGTGGAAAACGCTGCTTGCGTGGTGCAGCTAATGCGCAGCTATAATCCAAATGTTCAATCATCGATTTGATAATCAATTCAAATAGAAACCATGAATTGGACATAGCGAGCTCAGTTGCCTTGCCGCTGGCTACAACCCAGTGCAGTGCTAATTCTTCGTGAAGTAAACGGATTTGACCGTCGCGGCTACCGAATGTAGGCGACAATTCCAAGATGTGTTCTAAAAGCCAGAAGAAAGAAAAATTTGTTTATATCTAAAAACTAAAAAAAAAAAGTATTTGCATGAGTCTAACACTGACCCTTGCGATCTAGGCTGCGACCAATTGAAACATTTTCATATAGACTGTAGGTGTCAGATGTACTGGCTGTCATCTCTTCGGCATTGCTGCGACTGTAGGTGATGCGCCGCTTGCTACCAAAAGGATGCGGTATGCGACATTGAAACTGCACGTATGTGGAAAGCAGCGCTTGGCGACCATATTGATCCACTACTAAATCATCGTTCAGTATCTAAAGAATAGGGTATGTAATAAAAGTTTACCACACTAAACCACAGAAGGTAAATCTAGCTAACCGAGAGATTCGCAGACACCATACAAAGCATTTCAAAGACGGTGGAACCGAGTGACAGTGGTTGACCGCCAATTTTATAGGTCGTCACCAAGAGCTCTATCAATTTATCCAACACCAAATGTAAATTCTTCACTAAAGGTTCACGCTCAGCGCTTGCAATCTCTAACAAGGCCTTCTTCATTTCATTCTCCATGTTGCCTTCACCGATGCGCGGCGGTATTTTACGTGAGTCCAGATAATCGCAAGTGAGAAAGAAACTGAAATTGCAAACTTATTAACCTTTTCCGCAACAATTTAATTTCATTACCCGTCCAAATGCGGGTCCAAAGTATGTACTGCTGTTACAGCGTCCACAGTTATCGTGAAAACGGGGCGATGATTATCCAACCACTTGGTGCCGGGCAAATGCACGTTGGGGGGTATGAACGAGTAGTTCTCGGGTGGCGTTTCTACCATTACTGGTAGCTGAAATTCGCCTACTTTCAATTTACCATCTTGCAGCAGCGGTAGCCATGTATAACCAACTGGCGTTTCCACTGATGGTTGCATCTCTTGTGGCTTCTTCTGACACGAAACATGATAGAGCGTGAAGAAGAGATGATGATTTTGTTTTATATAAGCCGGTAAAGCGATTTTGATTTCATCATAAAATGTTGGACATTTATTATGGTAATTAACTGCTGTGAAGGCCTCGCTTGCGTACTCCGGACAAGAAGACTTGCCAAATATAGCATTAACTGCATCTACTTGTGTTTCACCAGCCATGAGTTGTACGCGAACGGCGATGTTACGTGCAGAACCAGCGCGTGATGAGAAATTCAATTCTTTAGGTGAGACGAAAAGTAAGTTTCGATAGGTGTAATGTGGATTATAAATGGCGGCCGAGGGAAATTCTAATATTTCCTTAATCGGTCGCGTTTTGTCCTCCGGATAGGGATCAATTTTGGCTAGCTCGGGTGTTAAGGCGTTTTTCACCTCCTCGGGGCAGGGTAAAATTTCGAGCTTTATCGATCCAGGTATGCATTTGTATTTTTTCATAGCATTGCTGGGACGCTTCAACTCAGCTAAAAATTTATAAAGATCCTCATCTTTCATTTTATCGGATTCCTGTTAAGGAGTAAAAAAAAAGAGGAGGCAGATAAGAATGCGATATCACACAAAAATAAAATTGACGTAACACCTTGCCGCTCATAAATCCCACTTACTTGTTTAAAGAAACTCGATACAGTTATTGTTATTGGCCTGAAAGTCTCGATAACATTAGCGAAGTCATCTAAAGACCAAGATCTTCGTTTCTCCTTTCTCTCGAGCGAGCCACGCCGTGTCAAAGTGCCGCTCATATCATTCGCTTTGCGTCGCAGTTGATCGAAACTGCTTGTGGATGCCTTGCGATCTAAAATACATTAGTCAAATTTAATTTGTTTCCTAAAATTTCGTGGTCCTGCAAACTCACCCAAGCTATTAGAGCTAACCGCTGAGGTCAAGTTACCACCACCGGACGCATCTTTCTCTGCATTCCCACCAGCACCATCTTTATTTTCCACATTTTCGCCATTGAATATGCTGTTCAAATAAATGCCTGTCCATGCGAATGGCATACGATATTTGCCCAAACGTTCACAAAAGTCTGCAGCATTCGATTTGGCCTTGTCGCGATATTTGTCCTTGTCGTCCTTCAAATATGGTTCCACAGAATCCTTAATATCGCCTTGTAAAACTTTTTCTAACCGTATGACTAGAAAAATGTCACTGCTCGGATAGGTTATCTCGAAAATACCAGCACGACTTTGTGTGCTTGCATCTGCGCAACGCACATGTGTGCTCAGCATACGCTTCAAATTATCCGAATTCATATCAAAGTAAAAATTTTCCGATATTTTTTTGCGCTCCTTTGCATCATAAATCGCCATAGTGGCGAATATTGGCTCCACCTCTAACTCAAGACGCAACTGTAGACATTTGACGAGTATGCGGTGGCCCAAATGCTCCATGGGTATTTCAGCCGGTAAACGCCGTTCGATAACATCCTCTGGATCGGCTTCTGGGTAAAGTGAGAATAGCGCTTCCTGGCGATCTTCTTGTCGACGTGACTCATTCGTTTGATCAATTTGTTCTGGCGGCACATCATCAAGCAGATTGGGTATTAGTGGATCATTTACCGAACGTCTCAAATCAAAGCTAGCCCAAGAACCACGCGGTGTCAACGTATCAGTGCACGAGCTCACCGAGGAGAGGCTGGCGATCGATTGCCGTGAACTCGGTGTGCAGCTGTCACTTTTGTCGGTTAGATTCTCATCAAAAGATGCAAATTCTTTGTCAATTTCGAACTCTTGCTGATAGGCAGATGGGCTGATGGTGCCACGGTCGATGCGCTCACGTGCACAACAAGAGCTCGAGTAGTGACGCTGTGCATATTCGACTACCTTCCAAGGTCGTGTATAGCAGTTGACACATTCCTGGACATACAATGGCAACTCGGCGCTGCAAAGGTGAAACATTTTTTGTTTAAAATAATGGTACTACTACATCAAATATTATAAATGTCAACTCACATGTTTTCTTTTGGTACAATATGCTCAATGGTACGTATTTTGCGCGGAATAATCTTAACCGCTACATCTGCAGGTGGAAAATCAAGAATATGTTTCAAGGGATCTCGATTCAATATATTCATGTGTTGAGTGAGAAACTCCTCATAATCCAAGGGTTCCACCGGCTCGGTGAGCGATAGCTTTAAAAGGAGTAATACATACATATATACTTATACAAACATGTGAGTAATTTTACTACTTTTTTAATTGTTTTATGCGAAATCATATACTACATAACAGGAACACTTTTATGCATTCACTATACATATATAAAATATATACATATATTAGATTATTTCACTGCATTATAACTTATTTGCGTGGGAGTCAGTGACCTGCATTCTAAAGAGTTGCATGCATGAGGCCCCACCCAAGTTCAGAATTGCTTGCCTCACCAACCCCTCCCATCCCTGCCAACTGCTACAACAAACTCACCGTGGACGAACACATTGAGCCGGAATCCACAGCCTTTATTTGCAAATGATAAACTCCGACATTTTTTCGCAACTCGGATGAGTTATGTCTGTGAAAAAAACAAAGAAAACAATTAAATAAAAGTGAAAATCTCTAGTCGCGGTGAAAGTCAAAAGAAAATTCCACTTTGCGGCGAACAACGCCCATTGGGTGAGGTCTGTTTCAATTCACTCCCTGGAAAGAGCACTCACTTCAATTTTTGTGCAAATGTGCGCTGCGTACCGGACATTCTGTAAGCGTCTTATGTTTTTAATAAGAAATAATAGAATTCTTCAAAATTTTTGCACTATAATTGCATTTTTCCGCACTTTGCCAATCGGTCGATTTTTGTGTGTACAAGTGAAAAGTAAAAATGGCCGCATGTCAAAATTGACATTTGTTATGTTTTGGTTGTTTTCTCTTTGTCAAAAGTGACAATCAGCTGTGAGCATTCCTAAACAGCTGCTGTATTGCTGTTGCATCTGTTGCATTTGTTTACACTCGTGTTTGGTGGTGTTTGTGTTTGTTTACATTTTTAAGGGCGAATTCGCGAATACGTATATGAGTTTGTTTACAATTTTTTATGACTGTGTTCGTGAGTCAGAATTGAGCTTTTCAGGTGATTTAGAAATAAACAGGAGCTTTGGACCGTTATATTTCATAAAATTCTCCTTCAGAAGTCTGCGATAGATAGGGGGGGGAGGGGGGGGTTTGGTGTAACTTTCCGACCATCTTAATTCAAATTGGGGGTAGGCTTTAGATTGGTAACCACGGAGTACAGCATTAAGGGAAACATGGGAGGTAGAGGGGTTCCTGTATGAAGTTTCAAAGCGCGCAACCTTATAGTTTTTCAGGAATTTTTTGATTAAAGTTTGTAATTTTAACAAACTTGTATGGCACTTAATATAAAAACATAAAAATATAATTCCTAAACTTTGTGCAAAACTCGCGAAAATTCAGCAAATTTTCATGAAAAATTTCAACTTTTTAATCAGATTTTTTAGAATTTTTTCTCGCAGATTTTTAGCCCAATTTTTTTATAATAAAGTGCAAGTTTTAAGTAGCTAGGAATTACCGTCGATTTTTGGCAATTTTTTTCACGCTGTCTCTTCTATACAATTTTTTTTTTTTCGAAAATACTTTATATGGAAAAAATGCAAAACACCTTCAACAAAAAAAATTCTCAAAAATCAACGCGATTTTTGACTAACTTCAAACTGGCACTTTTTTTTACTAGAATTTAATGGGCTACAAAACTGCATACTAAAAAGAAAATTTGCTGAATTTTCGCGACTTTTGCACAAAGTTTACAAATTATTTTTTACGTTTTTTTTTGTTGATTAAACCATATTTACAAAATTGGCGGAAAAATATATATTGTGAAAAATTTGCTGTGCCAATACATCGGCAGTGTATATTTATGTTGTTGTAATTTTCATAGAATAAAACTTTTTGGGGATAACCAATAAAAATTAAAAATAATTACTATTTGATTTCCATTTTTCCGATAAAAAATAATGATCATTTTATGATATTTCATCTTTCGCTCAAATATAATAATTATTATTGAGTTTTTTTCACATAAGAAGAATGATTATCCTTTTAAAAGGTAGCTTCACCATAATTTTCAAATAAATATTTCAGTTGCTTGCATCTGTATGGCCTTTAAGGTTTTATTAATAATCCGTATTTTTAAGTGGAAAAATAAGTCTCAATAAAAATTATTATCTCTGAGCGAGAAAATAAAAGTCATAAAATATTCATTATTTCTGATCGAAAAAATTAAAATCAAAGAATAATAATTTCTGTTGAGCGAAAATATAAAATTTACCATGATAAAAAAAATATAAGGTACCTAGTTTCACTTAAATCTTTTTTGACTTTTACAGGCATTTTTGAAGTTTTCATAAATTGTACATTTTAGAAGCAGCGTTGCCACATTGGTATTAACAAAATATAATTTATGGTATTTTGGGATGGGAGCTTCTATTGTGTTTAATGGTTCTTAGTCTTTTCATACGATCCTAAATAGTTAACTTTTGGAGTTCTAAAATGTGTTATAATTATGATTACCTCAGGAAACCTCAAACTAAGAAAGCATATCAGAAACGTAAAAATTTGCAGATTTTTTTAAATATCTGCAATTTTTCTATTCATGTAGGTACTATGTATGTATGTTCATTGGACTGCATCACCAAAAAAAGTCTCGGTTTTTCCGCTGGGATCATAAAATATATTATAGTTAAAGACTTCCACCAAAATATTTCGGAAAAATATTAAAATTTACGTGAGATGGACCGATTTCAAAATACCTCCAAAAATGTAGTTTTTTTTTATGAATAAACATAGTTTCTTAAAGGATTTTTTGAAAAATCCCCTCGGACGACAAAACTGTTTAAGTTTAAAAAATCTGCATAAAAATATTTTAAAAATTATCAACGGAATGATAATAATAATATTTTTAAAATGACACTCGTTCATACTTTGAATTTAATTATGCAAACAAATAAAACGGGTGAGAAAATATCTTTGCAGTGATAAGTCTAAATCGGCGAACTTTTGACCGAGTTATTTAAGATTTTTCTAAATCAATTTTTGAAAAAAATCTCAATATTAGGATTTTGTTGATTTTTTTTAAATTTAAATTTTTAAGCTTAAACTGTTTTGCCATCTGAGGTGATTTTTTCAAAAAATATTTAAAAAAACCAATTTTTATTCATAAAAAACTCAAGGAGGTATTTTCAAATCANAATAAAACGGGTGAGAAAATATCTTTGCAGTGATAAGTCTAAATCGGCGAACTTTTGACCGAGTTATTTAAGATTTTTCTAAATCAATTTTTGAAAAAAATCTCAATATTAGGATTTTGTTGATTTTTTTTAAATTTAAATTTTTAAGCTTAAACTGTTTTGCCATCTGAGGTGATTTTTTCAAAAAATATTTAAAAAAACCAATTTTTATTCATAAAAAACTCAAGGAGGTATTTTCAAATCAGTCCAGCTCCAGTAAGTCTTAATATTTTTCCGAAATGTTTTCGTGCAGGCCTCAAAATATAATAGATTCCAATGGGAAAACACTACCGATTTTTTTTTTTTTGTATGGGGAGTGATGCAGTCTAATGTACATATAAATATACTTACATACGATTCAGTTTCTCCAAAAATTCTGAAATTGAGGAAATACATATATTGCTTTGAACAACAAAATCGTCGGGAAGATTTTATTCCTTCACGTTAGAAGCTTCCAACCACTTATTTCTAATAAACGAGAAAAATTTTAAAAATTTGACTCTGGAATTCTTGCACAAATTTAAAAGATTCCTACAGCTTTCAAACGCGCAATTAATTTTTTATTTTATTAAAATTACAGATTTTTCGTTTTAAAATCAGTTGTTTGAAATTTTTTCAAAGGCAATCATTTTTTTTTGTGCTGGTAGCTTGATTTTGATAGAGATGGCAAAATGCGAGCAAAAGTCAAGTGGCTAACATGGCGGCAAAAATCTACATTCTTTTTTGTATAATGATAATTACTATTTATTATAAAATAATGCTGATTAAAATATTTTTTTTTTTAAATGACTGCGATCCCTGCTTAAAATAAAATAAATTTTTTCCATAATTCCGATGACAAAACCCTACCGATTTTTAGTTTGTATGGAGAGTGATGCACCCTAATGTACATGTGTACATATCCATAATTTGAATTCACTAAACTCCCGGATTCTCATTAAATCTTGCATAACCTAATAATTGCAATTCACACAAATTTTAATACTTAATTCTTTTCAACTTTGTTGCTAAAAGGGCTGTTTGTGATTAGCTATAAAAATTACAACGAACTCATAATTAGCAAATCTCGCCAATGAATGTAACAAAAGGCAATGTTATGAATAAAGATGATTACTTAAAGTGGTTTCAATACTTGAATTATTAAAATACTACATCCCAGCGGACCAAATGCTGGGAAATGTCCGCGATTCTGGGCAGCGGGAGCGGGAGCGAGACAACTGCCAGGTTATTCAACCTTCTATTATTGAATCATCGACTATTTCATAAACTGGTGTATATAGATAGCTATAATAGATGATGTACTCTGCCCTGAGAACTCAAAACCTCGCGGAGCCCTGATGAAAACCTACATTTTCAGGGTCCCTGGCAGGGAGTGTATGTGCGTAGCCTAAACTCCATTTGATGTGTTTGTTTACTTCTGGCGATTGCGTCGCCAATTTCCCGAGGGATTTAGCGTTTGCACGGTTTGAAGGACAAGTAATTTTCAAGTACTTGAAACAAAGCAATTGATTTTTTTTTTCTGGTCAGTCTAATATAGGGTGATTCAATAAGACCGCAGACTTTCGCAATAGGATCATTGTTTCATTCGCTGCTTGACGAGTGTGGCGCCGCTGTTTGACAAGTGAAACCACATATTGGCCAAGTCCATGTCGTCTAATTTTCACAAACAATTGCTGTCAAAGATATGCATCACTCTTATATCACCCTACATATATATGTACATGCATTATATGGCAGGTTCTTAGCTTATTCTATTCAATTTGGAGTAAGCCACCCTTTGTTTAGCTGTCATTAAATTGCACGCTGCAGTGATTGGAATAAGTGGATGTTTTGTGCGAAGTTTTAAAAACTTCAGACTGCCATCGAGCAAACTAATTTGATGTGGAGACAGCCTACGCATTGTTGCGTCCTCGTAATGTGTAGGGAATTCTTGTTGTTATTATTAATAGAATTATACATCAAAGTCAGCTTAAATATGATTTAAATATGAGCCATGTGTTTACGAATCTTTATATTCATGCTGTAATAAATCTATTTATAGTAAACATTTAATATCTCATAAAAAATTTTACGTTCACTTTCGATCATTTTCTCAAAACTACTTATGTATACGTGACTGTGTTCATTGATGCATTCCTATGTGTAGTTAGTTGGTAGGTGCATTCCAGAAAAAATTGAGATAAAAAATGTATACTTAAATGAATCTGTACACGTCTTCATGAAGTCAAGCGTTAGATTCGGTTGGTCATTAACTCCCCTCCTATACAAAGCAGTATGTGAAGTTGATCGGATTGAGCAATCGCCTTATACCTTTGCTTAAATCGCTGAGGTCTTCAAAGGTTTCAGCACCCATGCGGCACATTCGCAAAGTATGTAAATGCCTCACGGATTGAGGTTCCTCCTCATCTCTACAGCTTCTTCAGCAATCATTGAACGGCAACCCGAGTATCACCGCGTACCTTCCTGTGGTGATATGACTAGTTAACAGACAAATAGCTAAGAAAATTTCTCCCCTACAGAGTACAATGAGCTTCCTCCACATTTTAAGCTCCGATATTGGCCAAAGGCTGGAAAGCGTGGAAGACGCTACAGTTGTCCTGT